GTAATACTAAATTTTGATTTAGTTCTTTCACAACTCATTGATGATACAAAGTTTTTAATGAAAATTTATTTACAATAGCTAATGAAGTCTTCAACTTATTTCCAACAATTTATTTTCAAAGAAAAGGTTCAATTTTGTTAGCTCTGACACACATATATATGTACATTATTCACATCATACTCTAACTACAGTACAGAAGAAAAAAACAGTAAAAGCTTGCTAGTTGGAAAAATTATACAGCCACATATAGTTTCTAATTCTAGATTAATATGTTTGAGTTTACATTCCCATTATGGTTATTTTTGTTGGTAAAATTAACTTCAACATTGTTCATCACAAATACCAATGAATGTCAAATACTTAAAAGATCACGCATCACAAACATGTTTCTGTAGACTTAAAATTACTTAAAGAAGCTGAGAAACGTCCAACAGTACTAAAAAATAACATGCATCTTTTACACAAAAATTAAATGATGAAGTTTATAACAAACTTACAGGAATGGTATTCTAATTTACCTTGTAATTACAGGAAAAAAATACCACAAAACAAAATGATGGTATCCACACCATACTTATTTTGCTTCAAGACACTTTTCTCCAAGATTTATTAAATCTCATTCTGATTCTTTACTTAGTTCTTCAACATGCTGCAACTTTAACTCTGGAATCATGCTTATCTTCATAAACTTGCTACTAGCATACTTCATTCGAACAGCCTACGATAATGAACAGATACATACATATATTGATTAGTTACAAGACAAAACTTATGTACCCAACTCACTATCAACCATGTTAGCAAAATTTTCACTTCCCCACATAACTAGCATTTTCAAAGTAAAGATTTCCCTTAAGTACTTTTGAACTTATAAAATACGTAACACAAGTTACTGAAGATTAAGATATGAATAAGACTTTATACATTTCATTTTTTTAAAGAATATTATTGCATATTAATTGAATACAGGGTTAAGTGCATTGCATTTAGTATATAACCACCATAGTAACCATGAGAATAGTCATACTACAACTTTTGACAACATACATGTATCTTCACAAAATTTTGGATTATCAGAAAACATTACAAGGCTTTCATACACAAAATACCAGGTTTTTTAAGTTAAGAATTAAATTTTTTTAATTAAAGATTTGCTAGTGAATGTTTTCTTTTGGAATGTTGACTATCCAATATGCAAAGTAATGTTGACTTTAAGATGAAAAATATCTTTCTTCATCTGAAAATTTTCAAATTTCATTTTACATAATCTCTAACTTCCTACCTAACAATCAAATCTTATTTTAAAAAAACTATATTTTATATGTTATTTTCTCTACCATAACTCCATACAGATTTGACTTGTAACCACCATAAAAAAAAAATTACAAAATAAATCTAAATAACCCTTTTTTCATTCTAGAATGACTGCAAAAAATAATGTTTTTTAGATTTTTATACATGGAAGTTGAAAGAATAAAAATTATCAATTACTATACAGATACCACAAAATTCCACTAATTTATCAAGCTTACTAACTAAATTGTATTTAGGTCTAAAAAAAATTAAAAAAAAAATTACATCAGCATATCGCCTTGATCATTAGTCTTCAAACTCTGCAACAGTAATGATGGCTATAACCACTTAAGTACTTTAGGAAGACTGACAGAATTATAGTTCAAAATGCTTAGTCTAAGTGTGAAGTGCTTTGGAAGAACTTGTGAACGCTACTCTGTCATTTTTATAGATGTATGAATTTACAGTTCCAAAGGAGGTTTCCACTTTAGCTGCAATGACACTTAAGAGTTCTTAGATTACATCCAGTGATAGTCTTTAACTCACTTTACTCTCCCCAATATAATCAGTAGTCAGGTTATTTTTTACCTGATGGAATTATCTTTCCATGCTATACCAGATACACTACAGATACTCTCTGGAATTCTGAACTTTCATCTCTTCCTTGCTTTTACAATCATGGAGGGAGGGGGGAACTTCAAATCAGAAAATCATGTAATGTGACCTTCCCATCACTTGCACTATCATATCATAATACTTCAACTTGAATGTGAACAAGAGTTGGAGCTTTTAACCAAAATGGTCAAATGTCATAAAGGCTTTAAGAGTGCTGATTGAAGGTCAGGGCTGTAACAATACCCTTAACTCCCCATTTGATACGCATTGGAATGCTTTTACCATGATACAATACATATCACAATACACACAAATATTGTTACAATATGGGCTCAGTCAGTTTGACCAACCACAACCTTTTTGTACTTTTATAGTTTTTATAGAATTGATACTAACTTTTATTATAGTACATACATCTTCACAGAATTTGGCAGTCTTTCAATAAACATAAGTCTTTCAGATTTTAAAAAAAAAAAAATTGTCCATGAATATACCGAATATTTGTGTGCAAAGTGATTTTCATGTTAAGATTAAAAATACTTTTCTTCATCTTAAACTCAGATTTGATTTGTGTAGCCCCCGAAACCTCCTTTATAGATTTCAAATGTTTGTTTTCAATAAAAAACACTTATTTTATCTTCTATTTTCTCTATCCTGATTCTATAGCAATATTGGTCAACTTCACCAACCTTGTAACCACCTCCCCCCAAAAATTCAAAGTCTAAATTACCCTCCTTTTCTTCTAAAATGTTTTCAAATAGTAACATGAAACAACATTCACTTATCCTAAGTAGCTTTAAACTTATAACAGTATATATCTATTTATAGTTAAATTTTACTGTTTTGTCCTTTGAACTGTGTAACTAATATTAACACCACTATAAGTTGTAAATCACTTAGGGAACATGGAGATCACGTTATGCTATCAAGTTATGTTACCCACAAGCTGCTTGCGTGTGCCTTGTGAAAAATTTTTATTATATTATTTATTTTAACTAATCTAACCATAACTGACATACATAGATCCCCATTTTTACATTTCAGCTACTTTTATAATAATAAATAAATAATACAAAAAAAACAAGAAATAAAGTACTTCCAATTGATTGTCCAATATATATATAGATTATCAGTAAACATTACAATGCATTCAAACGTGATGACATAGACTTTCACCCATGCCTGTAGGAAGACTTGTTTCAGTAGGGGCAACAGAAGAAGTACCTTTCATCTCAGTGTCAACCTCAGGGGACAAGATATCTGAGCTTGCTTCCCAATTTGCAAAACAAAACAACCCCAGTTGCAAATCATTCCTCTTTGCTTAGCACAACGTTTGAATCATTCCTTTCTCTCGTATGTTGTCTTTGACACCTCAACAACACAGTGAAAGTACTGTAACATTTCAGTTTGATATACTAATACCAGTGTTTATTTTTCAGATATTCCCACCAAACAACACATACAGTATTTTCACATTTTGTTTTGTGCATATCCCATACACTTTGTAATAGTCTGTTCATGACACTTGGAATGTTTCCTGTTGGTGCCCACAGCCTAACCAACTAGACTGCACTGCATGTTAAGCATTGAACCAGTTACAAACTTTTTCAATACAATGCTCGGTCCTCAGGACCAACCACGTGACCATTTTTTACTTGTATACAGTTTTAATACAGTATGTGTATCTTTACAAGATTTGGCAGCCTTTTAGTAAATAATACAAGTCATTTGTGTGCAAAAAAAAATCAGTTTTTTTAATTAAGTATTTTTACTAAAGATTTGTCCATGGATATATTGAGTCTTTTTTGACCAGTCCAAGTGCAAAATTATTTTCATGTTAAGATTAAAAATACTTTTCTTCATCTCAAATGTCATTCGCATAATTTCTAGAACCTCCTAAATACATTTGAAATGTTTTTTTTGTTGTTTTTCAGTAAAAACTTTATATCTTCTGTTACTTTCTCTATGCTAACTCTGTACGAGGTTGGTCAATTTTACCAACCTTTAAATCACAAACAAAAAGAGAAATTAATGTAAGTTATCCTCTTTTTTTTTTTTCTTTCTGGAATGACTTCAAATTGTAACATGAAAGCACATTTATCTATTGTAAGTATCTTTAAACTTGTAACAGTATACATCTATTTATACTTCAATTTTAATGTTTTATTGCCCTTTGAAACATGCCTAAGTACTAATACTATTTGTGCCATTATAATATAAATTGTAAGTCACTTGACGAACATGCAGATCACATTACACTATCGAATCACATTACCCACAAGCTATTTCAAGCTGCTCCCATGGGTGCCTCATGAAAAGTTTTTATTACATTATTATTATTTACTTTACCTAATCTAACCTTAACTAACACTTAACCCTACTTTGTGTGTATCTACACATACACAGTAATGTAGTAGTACACTAAATTTTTATTTAATTAATTACTGCACCAAAGAACATAGAATAATAACTATTGCCATTTTTCTGGCTTTCTAACTGTTCGGCAAGAGCCATTGCAAATTCATCCAAGCTAGTCAATGTGTTTCCCATGGGAATGAAGTTTGTAGTGAAAGGGAAATTAACATTTTTCTGTACAGAAAAGGACAATATAATACATAATTTGATAGATGAAAACCTTGGCTTTCTATTGGTTGAAAATAATATAGTATTGAACTGAAGAGAACTACTGACAATTCCTGAGAGAGATGATGCGGCAGATGGATGTGGCAAGAGGAGTCTGATTTTCTATTTGGCTATGTTTTATTTAAGCAAGGACAATATTATAATAAGTAATTTATGTTAAATTTCGTACTTTGTGGAAGGGTGATAAATAAATTAAAGAAAATATCCCTTGAGAAAACAAAGTGTCATGTTTCTCACATTAGGGGAAATTTGAGATCTTTTTTTTAATATTGTCTTATAAAATTAAGGACTTAAAACATACTTTTGAAATATAGATTATTAGCTACAATTTATATGCTATACTAATTGGTATATCATGAACAAACAAAAAATAATTCAATTCAATTTTAAATGTAACTCACTAAAAACCTCGTGACATACACAGTACAGGATGCCCATGGAAAAGGGTAATTACTGCTGAAAGGTCATTAGACATTTTCTTCTTCAAAAAGCCAAGACCACATTATGAAGAAAGTAATGAGGTCTCACAAAAAAAAAAAGAAGAAATAAACTAGATTAATTTGAAAAATGATTTGTAGCAACCTTGTTGGGTTGCAACATCTTTAAAGCACTTCTTTCTCTACTTAATAGATTGTTGCATTATTTTGTGACAACCAAGACATTTTGCATTCTTGCAGTTTTACTTTATATATACCAGGAACTATTTTGTTTGTGAAATGCCATGTATGGTCGAATTAAATGTTAGGGTTTCAAGCTGAATAAGTGCTATTAGAACAAAAGCCTACCATCACCTCTTTTTGCTTAGTGGATGTTAAGACTTTTAGTGCTGGATTTATTTGCCATAATGTGTTAATATGATAAATGTTAAAAAGATAAGCAATATTTGCTAACTGCTATCAAAATCAATAGTGATTAGCAGTTTCTGCTAATTAAATCCAAACTATTTTCTCCCCTGCAACCATGACCTTTTCTGTACAGGTCTATAATTACTACAGTACTAAAGTGAGTCTTAGAAGGGATCTCATATCTTGGTTCCAAAACCTTAAGCAGTCTTAAAGCAAGAATTATTTACCACTGAAAAATCGCCTCATATATTTAGCCATAAGAATTCCAATAGCTCATATCTCTTTTGCCTTTGACTGTTCAGGGTTAATTTTGCTTTAAAAACTTCCTGGACTTTCAGTTGAGGAGCACCGTATCCTTTACTGTGTACAGAAAGTAAATCTTGCAAGTTTACTTTTAATTTCCTCTGTTTCTTGTAATGTAATACGTTTTATTCTCAAGTGTGGCTTTGTTTGATGTTGTTCCTGTTTTATAACTGATCTCCCACATCACAAGTTTTACATACTGATTTCAAATTAGTTTTATTCTCCACTTTGATCCAAAACTTCAAACTTAAAGTATTTCAAACAGCTAGTTCGTAGGATGAAGGCACATTCTCTATTCTATTTTGTTGAGTCAGCCATTGTAAGCAGCACATGATAGTTTGGTTTACTATTTATTGAATAATTTGATATGCAGTATTCACGAAAAATTAGAAACCCAACTAAATAAATTTCAAACATGCACTACTAAAAATAATAAAATCTATATTTAGAATGATTATACAGTACATACTAATCACTCACTTGTGTGGAAAAGTAAATTTGTAACTTGTACTATTTGAATAATTTATTTTTACATAACATAAAAGGACATTCGGAAAAAAAAAATAACAAACAAACCGTGTTTCGAACAGTAACCAATGAACTGTAATTTAGGTGAATTGTTACAGCCCTATTGAAGATGCACCTTGTTACCTTAAGTCACAAACAACCCTCTGTATGCTATGATTTCTATGACAATTTAAACATGAAAACTGTTTCTACAACAAAGCAAGCTTTAACAGCAATAACACTGATAATAGATTAAAACTGAAATACCCTTATCTCTCAGGTGTCACTACTACAGTAAAGCACAACCTTCTGTTGAAACTAGATAAAAAGGAAATTAAGTTAATTTTGTTCTATATTGAAACAATCTGCACTATGTAAGCAAAATATTACACTAAACTTTTACCTGAAGTTTAGCCTTTTCCGATTTCTGGATAAGAACACAGAATTGCTTCATAACTGGCAACAGCTGTGCTTCTTCATAGAAACTGTAATAAACAAGAGTACTGGTCCAAGAAGCTTCATCTAGTAGCTTCATAGCTAAACACAGGGCAGCAGCTGCAAGTTTAGAAGGAGCAATGTGGACCATGTTGTATTCAGGAAGACTAAGCTCCATCAGATACTTTGCCAGAGTATGCATCATAGCATCTGCCTGAAAATCAATATCCAAGAAAGCATAATTGTCTATTATAATCAGTACACATACTGTGCAACATTTTCAAAATCCCTGTCTGGAATGTTTGAGATTTTTAACTTAACACATATTGTCATATAGATTTCAAATTGAACTTGAGATGAATTAAAATCCTATGTTATATCACAAGAATATGCAATGGCTATCCTCAGATGTACAAACACATCTCAATACCAGTCACTTTCCACCCTTGTCTTTTCATTCTATTTTCTTAAATAGCTTCATAGATAACTGAGCATGGGTATTTCTTTAAATCAGATACAGCATAGTAAATATGCAAATCCAACTCTAATTTATTTAAAAACATGTGTCTACAAAATGTGACAAATGAAAAAGTTACAATTTTGCAATCTAACATGACATTTCAAAAACATTTCCTAAAATTTTATTGATGTTTATTAAATTGATAACTTGAAATCTCCTGCTTTAATATATTTCATTGTACAGTTTCATGCTGTGCAAGTTAAAACTACTTGTTTAAGCTTTGTTTTCAATAATGTTTTATAAAAGTTTAACTCTGTACAGTGACCAACATACAAATTTAACAATTTCATACATTTCCTGCTTTGGAATATCTCCTGAGGAAGTGCAGGGGTAGAGGACGACCAAGATTAAATGCAAGTGTGTCTAGCATGATCATCTCCATCCTTAAGATATCCTTTTTACTATAAGCATTGTCTGTAATGTACACAAAATCCCCAACCTCAGGAGCAAACATTTCCTCATATTTTGCAGCTATGAACATAGCAGCAACTCCAACCAGCTGTAGTCTACTACGCTGAACATGTTTTTCCTGAAAACACAAACTTAAGAAGCTCAAGATTAATGCCATCACTTTTTGTTTGACTAACTTGTATAGCAAGTATCATTATTCACTTAAAATCATTCCACTAATTTCATATAAAAGGAACCTGAAACGAAATATTGCTAATTTCATCCTTCATGCATGTGTATTTATTACATTTTTATGTAATAATATTTAAAAATGAAAAGATTAAGTTTTGTAAGAATGAAAAACATTCTTAGCTATCAAAGTTTTGCCTCATATTTTTATTATTTAGATCTTAAAGTGTTAATGAGATGAAATAAAAGTTTTAATATCAATGAATAGCACAGCACTATTGTCAAGTTTGATTTAATTCATTATTTCTTTGAGAATTAGCTAACATCAATTCCAAGAACATTTTCCTTTTGAAAATCAAATTTAAAAGGATTTCTTGTGACAAACTGAATAACTTAGTTTTTGGAAATGTTTTAAAAGATTTTACCCAGCTTCTATCATATAATATTACATTTGAACAAACAGCTTTCTTTGTAAGAAAAATCTTAAGAGCTATAAAAAAAAAACAATGTAACAACAATAGTCAATGCTTAGTTGACACTTTTTAGTTGAAATTCACAATTAACATGCAACTGTAAAATCAAAACTGATGTAAAATCTTTACAATACTAGTTATGTATATATACACACATACACACATTAATAAAAGTTTAAGTGTTTGCCATAAGCAGCTACTTGCCTGAAGTTCATCATAAAACTAAGCCTCACTGAGATTGAGTCATGTATTTAGGATAGTCTATATATATATATATATATATAATATA